AGAATCCAACTCTTCTTCCATGGCATTATACCATAAGTTTGATTGACTCGAACTTATAGCTTGTGAAAACGTTTCAGGATCATTTTCAGCTCCAATATTGTAGTCACTCTCTTGCAAATACACAAAATAATCACTAGGAATTGTTGACTTTCTTGAGCGAGTAAATCTGCTTAGTTCTTGATCAGCAACTTCCTGATTTCCAGAATTTTGTTCAATTGGATCAGGAATATGCTGAACTTCAGGATCTACAAGATGTGGTTCAACATTTTGTGGAATTTCCAAAATCGGTTGTTCAACATATGCTTGTACTTGAGGCATGTTATTGACAACAGTCATGCTATCACTTGCAATGAGATTTCTAGAATAGTCTCTCTCAGAACTAATGTCCAAAGATTGACTGCTCCCATTGATCAAGTCATTTTCAAGAAAATTTGCATTTCTTGATTCCACAAACCTAGTGTTATGAGATGGACAGTAAAATCTATATCCCTTAGACCTTTCGGCATATCCAACGAAATACCCACTTAATGTCCTCGGCAGTGTTTTAAATACCGTACCGGTAATCATACCGGACGAGCCAACGGTACGCGGTTCAACCGGTTCGACCGGCATTACCGTCTATTTTACCGGTTTTAATAAATATCAAATTAATTTATTATTATAATATAAATGATGTACAAAACTAACTTTAACTAATAGTAAAATTAATTAACATCTAATAACAATATAAACATATTAAAATTAAGTGTATAACTTTCAATTTATATAAATAAATTAATAAAAATATATTAAAAAATATTTTTTTTAAAAAAAAATGGTATAAACCGGTATTTTGGCCGGCATTTGCCGGTAAAACCGGTATTTTCCGGTATGAAACCGGTATAAACCGATATTTTGGCCAAACGGTATTTGAAGTGTAACCGTACCGGTCGGACCACCGGTATCCGGTATTACCGGTAATACCGGCCAGTACGGTACGGTATTTAAAACATGGGTCCTCGGTTCCAACTTCTTTTCTTGAGGATTGTAAACTCTCACTTCTGACGGACATCCCCAAACGCGTATATGGTGCAAACTCGGTTTCCAACCTTTGAATAACTCAAATGGAGTCTTTGAGACTGCCTTAGTTGGAACTCTGTTCAATATGTACACAGCCGTTTTGAGAGCTTCAGTCCACAAAAACTTAGGAAGTTTGGAACTAGCAATCATACTTCGCACCATGTCCAATAATGTTCGATTTCTTCTTTCAGCTACACCATTTTGATCCGGAGATCCTGGCATGGTATATTGGGCAACAATCCCATTTTCTTGATGAAATCTAGCAAAAGGACCAGATGCTTGTCCACTTTCAGTGTATCTACCAGAATACTCACCACCTCTATCTGATCTCACGATTTTTATTTGCTTTCCGCATTGTTTCTCTGCTTCAGCTTTAAAAACCTTAAAAGCATCAAGTGCTTCATTCTTATTGTGAAGCAAGGAGAGATACATAAATCGTGAATAATCATCAATAAAGGTGATAAAGTACTTATCACGATATGCATCTATATCATGACTAAAAATATCCGTATGAATTATTTCCAATATTTCAGAATTTCTCTTAGCACCTTTCTTTGACGTGTTAGTTTGTTTGCCTTTAATGCAATCTATACAAGTCTCAAAATCAGAGAAATCTAGAGTATTAAGTACTCCATCAGTTACTAATCTCTTGATCCTGTCAATGGAGATATGACCTAATCTCCGATGCCACAAGATAGAGGAATCTTCATTCATAACACACCTTTTAATACCAGCATTATTATGAACGTGCATAACTTTATAATTATCCTCCTTTTGCAAATTAAGTCGAAAAAGACCATCAGATAGTATTCCACTACCAACAACATATGATTGAAAAGATAAACTAAAATCTGAGTTTGAAAATTTAAAAGAAAAACCACACTTTAATAGTCTAGATACTGAAATCAAGTTCCTAGCAAAACTAGGAATATAAAAAGTCTTTTCCAAATACAAAACAAAACCACTACTTAAAAAGTCTTGTTTCCCTGCAAGGAATTGGTAACATGGATTGTAGAACCGGAATCAATCCACCATGTGTTATGCTTAACATCAACCATATTGGATTCATAACAAACAAAAGAAAGTTGATTACCTTTCTTCTCATGCCACTTTTGGAACTTAAGACAATCTTTCTTCACGTGATTTTTCTTTTTACAGAAAAAACACTTGATTTCCTTCTTAATTTCCTTATGAGGAGGAATTTTATCCTTCCCTTTATCTTTGGCTTGAAAATGTCTTTTCTTTCCCGATGTAGTAGTCATATTCACTTTCTCACCCTCTTCCATAGCCAAACGTCCTTCTTCCTGAACACACATGGTCATCAATTCATTTATGGACCATTTATCCTTATGTGTGTTGTAGGATATCTTAAAAGGACCATATTGGGAAGGAAAAGGACTATAAGGGTACTAGCCAATGCCTTGTCAGAAGACACAAACTGATCATCAATTGCCTTCAATAAGACACGAACATTGTCATATTGCTCGACCGAACCCCGGATCCCAGCAGAAATTTTGGTCTTTATGAACATAACGCAAAGACGATTAGATCGTTCCCACCTTTCATAAAGAACCACTTCGGCTGGGGTGCTTTTATCAGTTATAGCAGCCGGTTCGTCCTTCCTAATGGCATAGTCAATGTCCATACACCCCAAATGAAGAAGTATTTTCTTCTTCCAAATTTTATAATTGTCCCCATTGAGCTCAGGAACATCAATTTTCATATCAGAGTGATTAATAGGTTGAATAACTGCAACATATACAATAATCATGCTCATATTCACAAATTTGAAACTAAGAAAATAATATGACGTGTTATATCAATATAAAACACGTCTAAACATAAATCTAGAGAGATAAAACTTGCCTGTGGGCTAAAGTTCTAATTCAATTAGATTTACAAACTTCATGATAAAACTATCAAATTACAACCATTTTCTAATCCCTGTGGGCAAATTAGAAAATTAATTTAATATTTTATCCTAATTAATCACACAAATATAGTAGAAATTCCTGTGGGATAAGATCCACCATATTATATATGAAAAATCACAACTTATGTTATATATTTCTATATGTGGTTACCAACAAAATTTATATATAATTTCAATCAAATAACGATGTTGTGGCTACTCCTTAATTAATAAAAATTATACACACCACATAACATAAAATACTAACTCATATAATTGTAAAATCTATAAACAATTATTTATCCATGAGCTATCAAGATTAATATTTGTAACATGCTTGATAACATAATTTTATAGCATGCATGATTTATTAATTTAAAGCATACAAATAATTCAAGCATAAACATATTAATCATAAAATGATATTTTAGCATTAAACATATGCTCATTTTTTAATCCATCAACCATCAGCATGAGTCAGAAAACACCAAAAAATTCATCCAAATTCATGAAACATCACATATATTCATGAAAAATTGTCAACTTCCATATTCAAATACCAAAAGAACTCTCCATGTACAAATTAAATTATTAAAAATTTAATATCACAATTTCATGGAATAATAACTCATATTTGAAAATATACATAATACAAGCAAGGCAGAGATTAAACGTGGCTTTGATACCAATTTTAAGAATATTTATCCGATTTAATCATATATCGATGCAGCGGAATGATCGAGATTACATACCTCCAGCCATTGCTTGTGTATGTTTGAGTAATTGGAAGAACTTCTAGAAGACAACGGTGAATGCTTCGGCACGTTCACTTTTACTCGGTTAGGATCTTCTAGACTCTTTCACTTTCTCTTTAGATGGTGTAAGATTCAGTAGTCATAAAGTGATGAGCTTAGGGACCTTTTAAAACCGATGGTACCATTTGGCAGAAAGGTACCTTTTGGCAGTAGACACCTTTTGATAGATACCATCTGGTGAAACGGTGTGATGTTTAATTATTAATTCTATGCATCACAGAACTAATATCAACCATCCAAACTGTATGGATTAAGGAGACTAACAGTATTTGTACTCCTTACAAAATAGAAACATGTGGACCAATTTAAATCATATTGTTTATACATTATACAAGATAATTGAGAAAATGAAATACTAACAAATACCACATATTTATTTACTATTATTTTGTTTATTTATTATTATGAATAAATAAAATATTTGGATTAGTAAAAATATTAGTTGAAGTTTTTT